TCTTCTTCTTGCTGAGGAGGAGGAAGACGGAGAAGAGAAGAGGAGGAGGAGGAAGAGCAGAGGTTACAGTAGATAGAAGGGGAAGAGATAAGAAGATGAGGAGGAGGAAAAAGAGGAAGGGAAGAGTGCGAAGGATTTACAGTAGGTGAGGAGTAGAGGGAAGAAGGATAGGGAGGAGGAGGAGGAGGAAAAAGAGGAAGGAAAAGGAAGAGAGGAACAGAAGAAATTGCAGTACGTAGGAGGAGAGGGAGGGAGGGTGTAGCCAGCTGGAGCCGGCCAAGTTTATGAATGAAAAGGCCTTGTAGATGCCCTTCTTTCTTATCCGGCGAGTAGGTAGGTAGGTAGGAAGGTAGGTACGTAGGAAGGTAGATAGGTAGGTAGGTAGGTAGGTAGGTGTGTTAAAGCGCCACCGTCCACCTTGTTCAGGCTGTATAAGGTGTTGTGTTGGTGAAGTGGTCCATGGGCTCGATATGGGTCGCGTCCAGTCATTGTAAGCCATCAGTGTGTGTGTGTGCAGGGTGGTGTATCTACTGTCGTGTTGATCTCTCTCTCTCTCTCTCTCTCATTCTTTTTTCTCTCCTTCTCTCTCAACTCCTCCTCTCTCTCTCTTTCTCTCATCCTTTCCTTTTCTCTCTCTCTTTCTCATCCTTAAAGGCGAGGAGGAAGAGAGAGAAAGATTCAGGGAGGGAGAAGGCTGAGTTAGGTTGAGGATCGTGATGGTGCCGTATGGTGGTGGGGAGAGGGGAGAGGTTTGGTTTGGTTAGTGAACTTGTAGCTAAACCATAGTTCCTCCACCCTAGTACCACCTGCTGACCACCTGTTACTACCAACACCCACCTACCAACCCCCACCTACCAACCCCCACCTAACACCACCCACCTAACACCACCCACCTACCAACACCCAGCTGATTCTTGCCCCCACCAGCCATCCAGCTTCTTAATTAATTAGAAATCTTGTTCATCCTGTTATTGTACTTGAATACCTAAGAGGGATTCTGTACACATGCCCGTCTCTGTGTCCGTCGGGGGGTATTAGCCAAGGGAAATAAGCTGGGGTGTTAATCTTCATGTGCTCCGACCAGATCTCTCCGCTGGTGGCATCCTAAGCGTGAATCTCGACATCCTAAACGTGAATCTCAGACATCCTAAGGTTGCATCTCTTGAGTAAGATGACCTTTATCCTAATCAGCTTGACCTTTCACCTTTGACCTTTCACCATGGCTCCGGTGGCCATACAAGTGACCCAATATCTTGTTGCTAAGTGGCCCCAAACCGACCCTGTTGATAAGTGGCCCCAAAACCGATTCTGTTTATAAGTGGCCCCAAAATCGACCCTGTTTATAATTGGCCCCAAAACGGATTCTGTTTATAAGTGGCCCCAAACCGACCCTGTTGAAAAGTGGCCCCAAAAATCCAGGTATTTTAATTACTTGCATTGATTATTTTGACTGATTAATAGGCTCCCTAGATATTACACACACACACACACACACACACACACACACACACACACACACAAGACAACGCCTGTACTCCATGTCAAAGATAAGCTTCGTACTCTGTTTCGTGAGGGACTCGTGGATGTCAGCTAAAGTGAGTGTGACTTGTAGTTAACTCGCTTCACACGTTTAGCTTCATGAGGGATTTGTGAATGGCAGCTAAAGTGAGTGTGACTTGTAGTTAACTCGCTTCACACGTTTAGCTTCATGAGGGACTTATGTGAGTGTGTCTTGTGGTACAATATATGCAACAAGAGACAACAACAACAAGAGCAAGAGGAGGAACGTCACTGATGTTATCAGTGCAGGTACCCCAGAGAGAAAGCACTCCCTCACCCCCTCCCTCCCCTCACCCCCTCCCTCCCTCACCCCCTCCTCCTCACCCCCTCCCTCCCTCACCTCCTCCTCCTCCTCACCCCCTCCCTCCTCACAGCTGTTACCTCCACTTTGTACCTCCAAATAACCTGCACGTACACACACCTGTTCAACCTCATTCGGACCCCAGCCTGCACCCACACAGTATATCACAGGGGTGGGAAGGAAGGGGTGGTGGGGGGAAGGTGGAGGGGGGTGGTGGGGAAGGCAATAAGTTGAATCTGTGGGGATAGTATGTGTGTGTGGGGGGGAGGGAGGTAAAGGTTTGAGGTGTTCTGTTGACCTGGGGATAGAGTGGCAGGGGATGAGGTGGGGTACGGTGATGAGTAGTAGTAGTAGTAGTAGTGGTAGTAGTAGTAGTCAGGGCACCAGGAGAGAGAGAGAGATGATCTTATATGGTCGGGTCAGCAAGACACGAGCGAGTATACCTGCCCTGCTTACCCCCTACCCCCTCCCCTTACCCTCCCCCATTTCTCTTAAAGACTGGCGACAGGTGTGTGGGGTCGTGAAGGACTTAACCTTATGAGGCATTGGGAGAGTGTAGATAGATAAATAGATAGATAAATAGATAGATAGATAGATAGATATACAGATAGATAGATAGACAGATAGATAGATAGACAGATAGATAGATAGACAGATAAAGACAGTGAGAGAGAGAGAGTCTAACATCTTTTTGGCCAGCCTCTGTATATAACTTGTTTCTGTCTGAGTGTACTGACCGTCTGTGTGTTAAGAGGTGCATACTGTTGATTATTATTATTATTATTATTATTATTATTATTATTATTATTATCATAACAACAACTATTACAACACCACTAGTAACAACCACCACCACAACAACTATCACCACCACCACCTGACCTGCAACACACACCAGCCTTCTCCTCCTCCTCCTCTTTCTTACCATGATTCATCCACCTGGGGTCCCGCCCACGCCCACACGCGCCACGCCCATGTCTAAACACACCTGACACACGCCCAAGGACACAACCTAATATGCCAGCCGCCCACACGCCCACGAGCGAGCCCGCCCGAGGTACAGGTGTGAGGGCGTAACATTACCATAGTCCTTCTTTGGGGAATAAGAATTGCTGTTGTCTGGTCGAGTTTGTGAGTTGACAATTATTCCTCGACGGACGGACGCATGGACGGATAGACGCATGGACGGTTAGACGCATGGACGGATAGACGCATGGACGGTTAGACGCATGGACGGATAGACGCATGGACGGTTAGACGCATGGACGGATAGACGCATGGACGGTTAGACGCATGGACGGATAAACGCATGGACGGTTAGACGCATGGACGGATAAACGCATGGACGGATAGTCGCATGGACGGTTAGACGCATGGACGGTTAGACGCATGGACGGATAAACGCAAACATGGACAGACAGACGTTTTAAGGGATGGGTAAAGCGAACGGACGGATGGATAAATACCTACGACATACTGTACTCTCTCAGGTCTAATGTTACCAAATTTTACCATTATTGTTATTAATACTATTTCTTCATTCCTTCTTTTTCCGTCTCTCTTCTTGTTTACTTCTCGTGGTTGTGGTCTCTACACAATCCTCCACCTCCTCTTCTTAACCCTTCTTCTTCACCTCCACCATTATCCACCTCCTCCTCTCCACTCTGTCCACATAACTTTAAGCAACGTGATCTTCAATAAATAACAACAACAACAATAACAATAACAATAACAACAACAACAATATACAAACAAGAACAACAGAATTCACTAAAAACTCGACTTAATTAAAGGTACAGTACGCCCAGGTAAAGGTGGTGGTAGTGATGACCTCGCCCGTGGGTGTGTGGGCGTGGGGGGCGTGTTGGCGTAGGTGAAGCAGTGGGGGGTACAGGAGGGTTAGGGGAGGGGGATGTGTGTGTGTGGGTGAGACAAAGGGAGGTAAGGGGGGGTTAGAAAGGGGGAAGGGAGGGGGAAGATTTGTGTAGGTGTGAGAACAGGAAGGGGAGAATGTGTTTGTGGGCGTGAAGACTGGAAGAGGAGGGAGGAGATGTGGGCGTGTGGGCGTCGATCCTACTACCTCCAGAGTTTTACAGCCATGGAGAGAGAGAGAGACCACCACTCGACCTGGACTTAAGGGTATAAAAACCAGTTGTTCGTGTGATCACCATGCTGGGTGACCCTCCCTCCCTCCCTCCCTCCCTCCTTCCTCTCTTGCCCTTTCCTCCCTCTTCTCTCCCTTCCACTCTCTTCTCTCTCTCTCCCTCATTTCTCTTCATCACTTCACTCTCTCTCCCTCTTCTCTCCCTCCCTCCTCTCTCTCTCCCTCCTTCCTTCCTCTCTCTCCCTAAACTGGAACAACACGCCAACTCAGGTGTTGTGGCGATGTAATAAACTAAAAAGAAAGAAAGAAAGAAAGAAAGAAAGAAGAAAGAAAGAAAGAAAGAAAGGGGGAGAGAACAAGACAAAAGGTCAACTGAGGTAACTTGACTAACTTCATAAAACGGGTCCCTCATCTCTCACCTCCCTCACCACCTGACTTTCTCACCATCTGTCTCTCTCACTTCCCTCACCATCTGTCTCTCTCACCTCCCTCACCCACACGAAAATAATCTAGAGTGTGTGTGTGTGTGTGTGTGTGTGTGTGTGTGTGTGTGTACAGAGCGTCCCATGACTATACTCTACTCTACATTGACAGAAGAGAAAGTACTTAACTCTCTCTCTCTCTCTCTCTCTCTCTCTCTCTCTCTCTCTCTCTCTCTCTCTCTCTCTCTGCCCTCATTCATCACCTGTGTGTTAACTACAACATTCTCCAGCCACTTAAGATTCTCATTTTACACACAAGGGCGACGTGTGACCCCCGCCACCTGCTGCTTACAGATAGATAGATGGATAGATAGATAGATAGATAGACAGATAGATAGATAGGCAGACAGATAGATAGATAATAGAATCGTCATACTAGTCTATAATTGGTTCAGCATGTATTTCAACTAAGGTATATGTACCCCCTTACCTCTCACTCTTAACCTAACCTCTCCTACCTCCCTCCCTCCCTCTCTCTCCACCATAACCTAACCTCTCCTAACCTCTCTCCCTCTCTCTCCACCATAACCTAACCTCTTCTCTACCTCCACAGTTCTGGGAGATCATCAGTGACGAGCACGGCATCGACCCCAACGGCGTGTACCAGGGAGTGAGCCGAGACATCGAGGAGCTACAGCTTGAGAGAATCAATGTTTACTTCAATGAGGGTTCTGGCTATCACCACTACGTCCCCCGCGCCATCCTCGTCGACTTGGAACCCGGTACTATGGATTCAGTGAAGGCCGGACCCTATGGACAACTCTTTAAGCCTGATAACTTCGTCTTTGGTGAGTGTTATTGTTGGACGGGGTGATTTATGAACCAATGGTATGTTGAGTTGTGATTGATACTGGTATTGTTGTTTTCACTCCATGCTTGTAACCGAGGTCTTGGGTCAGTTTGTAACGAGGTAGTTGATTGGTTGTTTAGTGTTAAATCTATTGTATTTATATTATAATATTTTAAGGGGTAATTATCTTTCTATGTTGGTCTTAAGTGCTTCTATACCCAAGGTCTTCATGAGGAAGTCTTAGTTTGAGATGCTTCAACTGCCAGGATTGTTAAGTACCTGGCTTATATAAGTCTTAAATGCTTCAACTACCATGATCATTAACTTCCTGGAATAAGTCTTAGATACTTCAATTACACTTCGTAACAACCAAACGACCATTAAACAAAACCCAAAACACACTGCTGTACCAAACACTGAACCAATCCTGCTCTCTCTCAACAGGTCAGAGCGGCGCAGGTAACAACTGGGCCAAGGGTCATTACACAGAGGGCGCTGAACTGGTCGACTCCGTAATGGACGTAGTGAGGAAGGAGGCCGAGAACTGCGACTGTCTTCAGGGATTCCAGTTGGCACACTCTCTGGGTGGTGGCACTGGCTCTGGCATGGGCACTCTCCTTATTTCCAAGATTCGCGAAGAATACCCCGACAGAATCATGAACACTTACTCCGTCGTGCCCTCCCCGAAGGTGGGTGTTGTTGAGGGGTAGCAGGGTGCTCTCTCTCTCTCTCTCTCCCTCTCTCTTTTTTTACATCTCCTCTTCCTCCTCTATCTTATTCTCGTCCCTTTTCCCTCTTTTTCTCCATGTCTATCTTTTTCCATCCCTCTCTTCCTTCCTACCTCTCTCTTCCTCCCTCTCTCTCTCTCTCTTCCTCCCTCTCTCTCTCTCTCCCCTCTCCCTCCCTCTCCCTCTCTCTCCCCTCTCCCTCCCTCTCTCTCTTTAATGCTGCACTGTATATTCAAATTATCACTGGGAATAATACATAACAATGCTCCTAATTCTTATAATTGGGTTGAATCTTTACTGCATAAAAAAAATCATAAATAATTCCTCTTCTATTATGTAATCAGACTTCTTCCTAAAACACTATAGCATTAACATTGTGTAGAGACTCGTATACATTGTTATTCATGACTAACTGTATTAAGTTGTGAATGAAGATAAATATAAAGGTCTTTTTTAATATTACTGTCTTCACCTACGTTAAATAAACCTCTATGTTATGTATAGTATTCCCACGTACGTTATATAAAGCTCTTAAGATATCGGTTCTTCCTGTTCGTTAATCTATTCGTTATCGTCTCCGCAGGTTTCCGACACTGTAGTAGAACCATACAACGCCACCCTCTCCGTCCACCAACTGGTTGAGAACACCGACGAGACCTACTGTATTGACAACGAAGCTCTCTACGACATCTGCTTCAGGACCCTCAAGCTCCAGAACCCGACCTACGGCGACTTGAACCATCTGGTCTCCCTCACCATGTCCGGCGTCACCACTTGCCTCAGGTTCCCCGGCCAGCTCAACGCCGACCTCAGGAAGTTGGCTGTTAATATGGTCCCCTTCCCTCGTCTCCACTTCTTCATGCCAGGATTCGCGCCTCTCACCGCCCGTAAAGCCGTTAGCTACAGGACCCTCAACGTGCCAGAACTCACCCAACAGATGTTCGACGCCAAGAACATGATGGCCGCTTGCGATCCTCGTCACGGGCGGTATCTCACCGTCGCCGCCATCTTCAGAGGCAAGATGTCCATGAAGGAGGTGGACGAACAGATGCTCAACATCCAGAACAAGAACACCGCTTACTTCGTCGAATGGATCCCCAACAACGTCAAGACAGCCGTGTGTGACATTCCTCCTCGTGGTCTCAAGATGGCCTCCACTTTCATCGGCAACTCGACCGCCATCCAGGAGATCTTCAAGCGCATCTCTGAGCAGTTCACAGCTATGTTCAGGCGCAAGGCTTTCCTCCATTGGTACACCGGCGAAGGTATGGACGAGATGGAATTCACCGAGGCAGAGTCCAACATGAACGACTTGGTGTCCGAGTACCAGCAGTACCAGGAAGCCACCATAGACGACGAGGAGGACTTTGAGGAGGAGGACGCCCAGGAGGAGACTGACTAACTGGTCTCTTGACGTCTGTAGCGGCCACCAGGAGGACTTTGAGAATCATCTGAGGAGTCTTCACCCACCACAGCGAGTCTACCAAAGTCTGATAATAACTCGCCATGATAGCTCCCTGTGAGGACTTTAGTAGATCACTTCATGTATTCTCAAGTTCTTAAACATCACTCCAAAAGTCTACAAGAACGACTGAGGGTCTTTTTACAGGTAACCAAAGACCTTTCTCAAGTCTGATCAACCTGAAGACTTCTTAAAGACCCCGACACTGGATATCATAATAAAGGGACCACAAGCAGCCGTTCTGGAGGCCTTTAAGGAGAGGTGTTGCTCCTGGAGGTGGTGATGGCGCTCTTGACGGTCCTCATCCAATCACGATGAAATATCAAAGAAAACATATCTCACTGGGACGCCCGCACCTGTCTACGTCTAGCTCACCTGTGTTGATGATTGCTATGTCTCTTTCTCTCTCTCTCACTCTCACTCTCTCTGGGTTTCCCTCTTGTCTTGTATTGTATGTTTTTCTTTTATTTTCTTTGCCGCTATAATGTTCTCTTGTCTTTATTTTTGTTTTAATTCAAACGTTTCTTCTGCGCTCTTTTTCTCTTTCTACCATTTTCTCATTTCTTTCATTCTTTCTTTCCTCTTCTCATCCATCCTCTCTCTCTCTCTCTCTCTCTCTCTCTCTCTCTCTCTCTCTCTCTCTCTCTCTCTCTCTCTCTCTCTCTCTCACGACGATATAACGACTCACTGTTGCTGTTTCAATGCTTCCCAATAACAACAATTCGCCCCAAAACTTCCGTTAAATAAATCAATAAACAAACAGAAAACTTCACCATATCATTGGGGATAAAAGTATTGATCCAACTAATAGTCTGAATTATTACTATTAATTAAAAAAAAAAAGATTATATATTTCCTTTAGCGATTTTATTGAAGATGTCTCTAATAAATTATTCTATTGGTGCTATTTCAAGGTAGATGTTAATAAATATATACTGAACAACGGAGATAAGGTTGTCATGATTACCGCCAGAGCTTTAATGTGTCAATAATGGTGTCAAGTGGAGTAATCAGTTGTTGTCTTGTCCGTCTGATGGTGTCAAGTGTGTCACATACGCAAGGTGTGACGCGTCTTTGTTAGGTACTGCGTGTCATGCTAGCTGTGTCACGTGTCATACAAGATAACACCCGTCATACTATGTGTCAGGCGGTGAGTGTGGACTAGCTTTCTACTAATCGGTTCTGTGGTTCATCAAAAGTGCCATGTAATTGGAAACTGTTCAATCCTTTATCAGAATTAAACACAAAAGAAAATTAGTTTACCTGTTGTTTTGTTTACCTTTATGCCTCCCCCCCTCCCCCCCCCTTCATATTCATTAGATGGGGGTTTCACATCTAATGGACCCTCGATATAACGGATTTTCCTCTCCACAAATATACCATTAAATGAAGGTTTCACTGTACCTGAGATGTGCTGTGCTGTGCTGTGCTGTGCTGCTGTTCCTTGCGAGGCTGTTTATGAGTTCCTGAAGTACAGTGTGTTACTGTCCCAAGAGAAGCTGTTACATCACACTTACCTGGGAAAAAATGAGTCGGTAAGAATAACCTGTCCTCCATCATATGAACAAAAATATATGATACGTTTTATTTAAGTTTTTATGTGTATTGACTAACGAGATTATAGGTAATATTTAAGGTTAGGTTAGGTCATGTTTGGTAATATTTTAGGTTAGGTTAGGTTAGGTTACGTTAGGTTAGGTAGATACTGTAGGTTTTATTCGATGTAGTTAAGTTTGGTTATCAAAAGTTTGGGTACAGACTGATTCAAACAAACAACACTATTTTGATCACGATAATACAGCCACTTAGATGGGATTAATACACCTAGTATCAATGTACAGTAATTATTAAATGATAGTTCCTTACAATATCTATACTCTAACAACTTAATAAAGTTAATATTGACGTAGAACAACAAACTACATTCCTTCATCAGTAAACATAGTCGAGAACTTAATATTAGGTGACTTAAATAAACTCAGATATTCTTAATTACTTTACCTCACTGACCAACCCCGGTACTAAACCTCTGCTGGCGAGTGACATAGTGACATAAACCACTAATGTTAATAAAATATTACCAATAAGATTTAAGGTTATTAACAAGAGTAGTAAATGACATATTAAAACTAATAACTAGACGAATGGATAGGCTTGTGTCAGTCAGTATTAGAAATAAAACAACTACAAAAAAAAGTTAGTTTCAATAAGACGAGTGAACTATATATTAAGACCAAAAAATATTCTAATCAGGTGCAAACAAGTGAGGTGGATGGGTTTGTGTGAGACAGACTGTATAGACAAAAGATCTGGGACGCTTTCTCTCCGATACCTAATATGGCGAGTAACTTCCTATGCTCTCATCATCAAACACTGTGTAGCTGCTGTTCTTGTTGAAATTTATTGCACTAAAAACATGGCGATATCTTATTCTGCTTATTTTTTACTATATAATAACTAGCGTGTTAATTAACTTACAAACACGTGCTAAAAGAACCGTGTAAGTTGTTGAAGCGCAGTATTACATTATAACTTTAACCATTTTCACGATTTTTTCTTTGTTTCTTCATCTTTATTCTTCATTTTTGTTTTAATATTACCAGCAAAGAGAATGTTGTTCCTATTGAGTGTTTTAATATATATGCTTCAACTGACAGGTAAACTAAGCACCATTAACTATTATTTTCTTCTCAGTCGACAACTTCTTTTATAAAGCTTATCTCGAGGATCAGCGAGACTCTTGTTGTTCAAGATATCGGAGCCTTAACTGCTATGGGTCATTAGGCACTGAGCACAGATCTTGGTATCTTATAACACACAACGAGTATAATGGGGCGACACTAAGCCACGCCTTTATGAACGTGTTTTAATAATATCAAATTCAGTTTCCTCACCACAATTCAATTTAAACCGAATAATTTAACTTGTTTTTATGTATATACCTAACCTAACCTAACCTCACCTCACCTCACCTAATCTGATAACCAAACCTGTAGATGCCTCAACAGTCAGGAAATATAAACACAGTTCTTCAAGAGTTTCAATACTAGACAACATCCATTAAATATTAAGACATCACGAGAAACTATTATTATTCTAAAATAAAGTTGTTCTACCTGTTGGTGCCATAAAATAAGCTCTTCACAAAGTCGTATAATTTCTTCAGTAGATAAGAACCTCCAAGACTTGTGAATGATATACTTTCTATATATCCAAGGCGTTCATATAAGGTATTACTGATCTTCAACAACTTTATAGTTTATATGAGTAGTTTAATTTTCATCTTAATTTACATCAACAACTAAATATGGAAGATACATTTCTCTGGTTGTGTGTGTGTGTGTGTGTGCCGGGCAGTAACACTCTGAACTTTTATAATATTCCACTCTCCCTTTCCTGGAGTTTATTACCCGACCAAACACCAGTAAAGAATATATAGCACGAGGACATTCTCTAAGACAACTCCTGTGTCCACTCTTACCGTCTACCCTCAAGAATTCTAAATGAAAACAAACATATATTTTCAGAAATCAAAAGTATACCTCAACTAACTAATTCAAGTAAAAATTATACCACTTCAATTAATATAAATTTAAGTACAATATAAGTAATGGTAAAAATTACACCATTTACACCAACTAACACATTTAGCTATGAAGTAAATTAATTAGTTAACACGTCTAGTTATATTAGTCCACGAGGGAAAAATTTAAGTTACGGACCTAAAGTAATTATCCTGTTTACTGTTATCCAGGATTGACTTACTGTTTAATTTAGTTGATATCGGAGCACGGAACAGTTTTTCTGATGAATGGTAATCGGGACGCCAGGCAGGTGATCAAAATAATTGAGTTTCTCCCTAAAATTTTGAATAAATAAATCAAAGAAAACGTATTATATTGGAGGAGTAACTATTATATATCATTTCGCCACATAATAAACTCGAGCCGTTGTAGTGCTGTCTGTTACTTTGTTGTGAATTTGACTGTTCATATTGCATTGCAGACCAGACTAATAAAGCATAAATTATAGTCTGGTGACGTAAATGCTGATCTCCCAGGATTATTCACGTCATGTCGCCTCACCGCCGTAGTGCAAGCCTTGGCGCATAATATCTCCCAAAGGAACCACACGTCCAAGAAATGATTACCATATCCGTACTCAGTGATGAAAATTGAATAAGAAAAGATCTAACTAGAATTCTGGTGAGTCATCATTATTAGCTCTTAATTTATTTGATATTGAACTAATTAATTAAATCTAATCCGGTGACATTTATTTGCTCTAAAACAAACACATTCGTCTTAATATCAGTTTAGTACAGTCATTAAGCACTCACCTAAACATCCTCGCTAGAATCATAGATCTGTATTCCACCAAAACTTATTCCTGGAGCAGTTTTGAATATTTTTATCTTCCAAAATCACGCTGCCATGACGCCTAGTCGAATTTATCTTCATTACATACACTTACTGGCGTTACTTGTCATGTTATTGACCTCCATCACTGAAGGAACTATCTCTAAATTACACATACCGTCACATATTACACTAAGCACTCATCGTCGAGAGAAAATTTCACTTTAATAGAGAGACAATTTTTGTTGCGAGTATCCACGTTGACGGCGAGTTGAGATGGCACGCGAGTCGGAAGAAATCGGAATTAACAAATACCAGAGGAAGAGTTAAAGAATAAAACAAACAATAATACACCTTCATTTATATTATAAAAATGCTTTAATCATAAATAATGCCACACAATAATACTAGACTTAGGATTGTTGGGTTAATCATAAAAATACGGCAACATTACTGTATAACATTAGACACCTCGAAATTTTTAATCGAATATTTTAATATTTTATATAAATAGATTTTAAGACGAATAGAAAAAATTTATATTGTTATATGGATGATTATTGATTGCCTAAGGAGGGAGGCGAACTTTTCGCCGCGAAAAGTGATCGCTGATACGCTGTCAGTGTTGCTGCTAGAAGAAGGTGGAGGGCACACAGATGTGACGCTCGTGGCAGACATCGAAGCAGCATTTCTCTTCGCCAGGGCAGCGGGAGTCATTGCTACAGGGGATGGGTTGTGGATCAGGTGAGCATTGTGTCTCAGGAGCTGGGCATACTCCTCCTGACTTCACTGTAGTGGATAAAACAACAGTTTATTTTACAGTATTGATAAGCAACAATAAGAAGGATTTTTCGAGTTTATTAAGACAAGAAAGTGACAGACAAGGCTATGGATTAGGTTAGCCTTAGGGTTAGTTATAGATTCCAGGGTTAGTTATAATTTCCAGATATAAACTAACCTTCAGGGCGTGTGGCTGGGTCAGTGTCCTCCTCGCAGCAGTAGATGGCGGCTGTCGGTGTCCTGCAGTAGTACCGACACCCTGCACCTTCTGCTGCAGCCTCCGCGCCTCTACTTGAGTCCTTTCCTATGGCAATGTTTTCTATGCCTCCTTCGCCAATACTTACTCCACTAACTACGTCACTATTCACTCCACTAACTACGTCACTATTCACTCCACTAACTACGCCATTACTTTCTCCACCAATTACGCCACTACTTACTCCACTATGTACTCCACCTCCGACGCCACTACCTTCCACCCCACCAGTAACACCACCACCCACAAGAACACTGTCTAATTTGGGAAGTGACGCGGCAAGTTGAAGGTCACTTCCATCAAATATTAAAGATGGTATTTTCTGCCCACCGTAACTTCCTCCCTTGCTGCCAACTCCTTCAGTACGTCTCCTACTTCCTCCTCTGCCATATTTTAAGCCTTCGTGACTCTGTTTAACCCAGACACTGGCGTCTGGAGTGCGGTAGGAGACAACGGAGATCTTGGAATGGGAATGGTGTTGTGTTGTGTAGGCTATCATCGACGCTATTATAATCAGGACAGCCAACACACCGCTGTTTCCGCTTGTCTGAAACACATTGACAAATATTATTAAGTAGAGTATTAATTTTGATATGAATTAGTTATAGTAAATAGAAATTAGTACCTTAATTATTGATATAAATTGAAAAAAAATCTGAAAATTATTTAATAATATCAGTTATATTTACACCCCAAAATTACTTAATCCAAACCAGTTATATTTACGTGGTTCTTACGTCTTGAGTTGCTTCTGGTCACCCGAGCTAGAGACATGTGTCGATTAACTGCGTCATTTTTGTATGTGTGTACTTGTATATTTATTAATATTTATATATATGTGTATTAATCATTAACCGAACACAATTATTTCTTGATATGCGGAAGTATAATAACTAACACACCCAAAGAAATGTGAATGTATTTGACTCTTAAATAAATAAAAATACTCCACCAAATTTTCAAGCACTATAGGCTGAGTGAACGAGAATCTATCCTTGAGTGGACATGTGATCGATGGCGAACTTAACACCAAACATATTAAAGATATTTATTGGTATCATAGTAAAATATCAGGTTAGAGCAATTACTGCCATCACTGTTCATTTGTATTTGAGTAGTTAAGATGTTTTGACGAATCTGCTTGCCTGTGTCGTGTCCTAATGTAAGATTCTTTCAACGGTGATGTCTGATGCTGAAGGTGGGGAGGGGAAGAGGGTGAGTTCATTTGAGGCTTCAACTCCCCCCAACCAACCCCCCCACTCCCCTCCCTCCCCAACCAACCCCCCCACTCCCCTCCCTCCCCAACCAACCCCCCCACTCCCCTCCCTCCCCAACCCCCCCACCTCCCCAACCCCCCCCACTCTCCCCCCAACCCACTCCTCCCAACCCCAACCCTCCTCCCCCAACCAACCTCCTCCTCCCCCAACCAACCCCCCAAACAAGACAATATCTCGGGATAACACGCAGTGGTTCCTGCTGTGTTGGTGAGCCGAGTGAAGCAAAAACTGATTCCATTAACTTTTTTTTTTTTTTAGTTTAGGATTTGACGAAGGTGAGTGGCATGTAGGAGGATGTTAAATTAATTGTTTTTCCTCTGTCTTTCACTGTATACTACGATAGCCTCTCTCTCTCTCTCTCTCTAGGCTAACACGGGCGAGTATGGCTAATAGTTCCCCCCAGAAGATTACAATTTAAACAGAATCCACTCTTTGTTTACCATGACGTCATCATTCACCCTCTCCCACCTCCTCCTCCTCCTCCTCCTCCCTCACACAACGCACCGATCTAATCTAACTTACGCAGAAATAACATCCAATCACAGTGCATTATACACCTATACGCGAGGATTAGGACCAATTAGCTCACATTATAGTCATTTACAGAGGAATTTAGCCCTTTTAGCTTATATACACTGATGTGGGTGATTTAAATCGATACTAGTCAATCAGGCTGAGGGTTGGCGACCGCGGCCCACCACTCATCCTTAATTCAGAGTAAAATAAAAAAAATAACGGAAATACGCACGAGGTGTTTCTAATATAACTCACTATCAATTATAATCTCTGTCTAATTATCCTGTAGTTTCTTATTATTGGTTTATATTCCTTTTCTCTTGGTTCTTATCCCTTTTTCTTGTTTTTCCTCTTTTATTCCCTTTCTTTGAGGTTTCTGAACACTTTGGTCGACTCCACATAAACAGAATCACAATATTCACTGATTTTATCTCCACTGAGTTACACAATATGCATAGCGAGTAGTGGAGAGAGAGAGAGAGAGAGAGAGAGAGAGAGAGAGAGAGAGAGAGAGAGAGATAGGCAGGCAGAGATATACACACACAAAAAAACAGAAACAAACAAACACAAAATCAAGCAATGTCTTACCATGTTAGCTGTTGTACTGAGGGAAAAAGAGAGAGAGAGAAAGCACGTGGGTGTACCAGAGACTGTGGGTGATGAAGTGATCAGCAGGCAGGTAAGGTGGGCTATATATCCCCGCACACCTGAGCAGGGAAGTCCCCCATCTGGCCTCAGGGTAAGGTAGCCATCAAACAAATTCCTGTATCGGTTATTTTGTCATGTCTTGATTCTTTGCAAAACACGTTCGTTGTTATTCAGTTTTTCCTCTTAACTGGTTCTGTGAGTGGAAGTGACTGGTTGAACGACTGTGCAAGTAACTGGGGTGTGAGTGTGTAGCTAATTCGAAGTGTAAAGATGAAACTGACTGGATGTGTAAGAAAATGGTGAAATTATATATTACTCAAATTAAATAAATAAAAACTAGTTAGAGGAACTTGTACGAACCTTCAACATCTCTCTGGCGTCATTATGTTTTAGAGCATTATTACAGACAGTGTTGGTGGTGTTAGTGGTGGTTAGGTTAGTTTAGTGAAGAAAATGCCCCTCACACCACTACGTTTTCTCTCTCAGTAAGTAATGTTCCGAATACACTTACCAAACGCACTTACCTTCCTGTTGTGACTCACTAGCAAGGATGGGTCGCCTCAGCAGAAGGGGGCGACAAATGCCTCAGGTGCGGCTGAAGTAGGCAGACCTCAGTAACTTCTGATGGGGAACGCCCTTGTGTTTGAATCACCTGAAGATTAGACCCCCAGGTTATTTCACCTGAAGATTAGACCCCAACTTATATCACCTAAAGATTAGACCCCCAGCTTATTTCACCTGAAGATTAGACCCCAGCTTATTTCACCTGAAGATTAGACCCCAACTTATATCACCTGAAGATTAGACCCCAGCTTATTTCACCTGAAGATTAGACCCCAACTTATTTCACCTGAAGATTAGACCCCAGCTTATTTCACCTGAAGATTAGACCCCAGCTTATTTCACCTGAAGATTAGACCCCAGCTTATTTCACCTGAAGATTAGACCCCAGCTTATTTCACCTAAAGATTAGACCCCCAGCTTATTTCACCTGAAGATTAGACCCCAACTTATTTCACCTGAAGATTAGACCCCAGCTTATTTCACCTGAAGATTAGACCCCAGCTTATTTCACCAGAAGATTAGACCCCAGCTTATTTCACTGAAGATTAGATCCCAGCTTATTTCACCTGAAGATTAGACCCCCAGCTTATTTCACCTGAAGATTAGACCCCAGCTTATTTCACCGAAGATTAGACCCCAGCTTATTTCACCTGAAGATTAGACCCCAGCTTATTTCACCTGAAGATTAGACCCAGCTTATTTCACCTGAAGATTAGACCCCAGCTATTTCACTAAGATTAGACCCCCAGCTTATTTCACCTGAAGATTAGACCCCAACTTATTTCACCTGAAGATTAACCAGCTTATTTCACCTGAAGATTAAAACAACTTGACGCTGCCTGAGGCTGTTAGGTTAATGCCAGGGTGATTGATTAAGTAAAATAAGCTGGGGGTTTAATCTTCAGGTGAAATAAACTTGGGGTCTAATTTACAGGTAAACCAATAAAAGGTAAATCGTTCCACCTGAAGGACTCAAACATTAGATCGTTATAATGAAACAAAAACCAAAGTTGCACCACAGCTACCTGCCCGCCCTACCGGTCCTGAGGTACTGCGGGCGTGCTGACGGCGTGAGCAAGGTTTCCCCAGGTTAATCCCCGAGACTCACCTCCTGGATGAACTAGGACCTACCTGACGTGGCCTTAGGAGGGAAACCCTGAACCTTGACGAAATTTTTTTTTACCTGAAACTTATCATATAATTCATGGAACTTTGGCAACTTTTGGGGACTCAGAAAGTATCGTCCAGCGCCACAAAATATTAACTGCACCATTATTACCCAGTGTGGCACCAATTACTACTATGCCAACAACACCACTACAGTTACTCTCAACTAATCATTAACAACAACAAACAATAACAACAAATTTATCCTCTTATAAACTGCACAGAATGAGAGGCCTCGGTCCATACCTATTGTCCACAAATATTAACAACGGAACCAGTCTACTACAGCCGGACCCTCGGAAAATTGTGGTTTCAGATGGCGAACAAAAGGTAAGTTAGTTTAGTAATTGTTTGGTTAGGTTTGGTTAGGTTAGGTTAGGTTTGGTTAGGTTAGGTTAGGGTTTGGTTAGGTTTGGTTTGGTTTGGTTTGGTTAGGTTTGGTTAGGTTAGGCTAGGTCATAAAATGTTAGTTCATTCATTTACATTGAATTTAGTTAATGAGGGTTAATTTACAGTAGACTCATTAGAAATATTGTTTTTGGTTTCTTATGATAAGTTCAGACAAAAACCATACCATACCATGCTAAACCATACTAAAACCATACCATACTAAACCATACCATACTAAACCATACCATACTAAACCATACCATACTAAACCATACCATACTAAACCATACCATACTAAACCATACCATACCTAGAAAACAGTGCGTTAATGTTCGAAATAAGGCAAACAGAGTATTTGGTTTTATATCTAGAAATGTAAGTAACAAGAGTGCAGAGGTCTTATTGCAACTATATCTTGCGCTAGTCAGGCCACACCTCGATTATGCGGTTCAGCTCCGGTGCCCTTATTATAGAATGGATATCAATTCACTAGAGTCGGTGCAGCAAAGAATGACAAAAATGATTCCGGGACTTAGAAACCTTCCATATCAGGATAGGTTAAAGAAACTTAACTTGCATTCCCTAGAAAGACGAAGAGTGCGGGGACATATGATAAAAGTATTTAAGTGGGTGAAAGGAATCAATAAAGGGGATATAGATAGTTTTATAATATCAGAGCAGGATAGGACTCGGAGCAACGGATTCAAGTTGGATAAGTTTAGGTTTAGGAGGAGATAGGAAGAAACTGGTTCACAAATAGGGTGGTGGACGAGTGGAACAAGCTAGCAGTTTTGTAGTAAGTGCTGGAACTCTGGAAAGTTTCCAAAAGGAGGCTAGAAGATTCATGGATGATAGAGAGTGGTAGTAACTCTCGACAGGAGCTGCCATGCACAGACCAACCGGCCAATTGCAGACTCCTTTATTTTGTTCTTATACTAAACCAAACCATACCATACCATACTAAACCATACCATACTAAACCATACCATACCATACTAAACCATACCATACTAAACCATACCATACCATACTAAACCATACCATACTAAACCATACCATACCATACTAAACCATACCATACCATACTAAACCATACCATACCATTACCCATTATTAGTACCCTATATCCACCATTAAATACCCACAGCTAATGGTACCCTTTGAAACATACCACAGTCTCGCGCCCTAACTATCCCTTCCTTCCACTCGGCAGCCACACCCGTATGACCAGTGTGGATGAGGAGTGGTGTGGATGAGGAACAGTGGATGAGGAACAGTGTGGATAAGGTGCAGTGTGGATAAGGTGCAGTTTGGATGATGACCAGTGTAGATGAGGATCAGTGTGGATGAGTACCAGTGTGGATGAGGTAAAATGACATCCACTCGTAACATCGGAACCCCTCTCTTACACACCCGGATGTAAGGATTCCCAGTAGTGATGGCAAGACCCAGATTAATGTTAATTATATCGTCCATGTTTGATATTTCTGAATGTAGTGACAATTAGAAAGAGTTGTTGAGGATTTCATTTTTCGCGTGTGAGGTTTTTGGTTCAGAGCGGCGGGGGAGATAAAGTGATGTGTCATGATGTGTTGAAATGAAACAAAATTGGCGGTCACTGCTGTTGTTCTTCTTGTTCTTGTTCTTGTTCTTGTTCTTCTCTTTCTTCTTCTAAAGGTCAGGATCAGTTAGGTTAGGTTAGATCAATCCTGCAAGTAATCATATAGTTATTATTTACAGAGGGTATTAACACATACACCAAACAAACAAAGTACTGTACCTCACGCTACACCCAGGGCCCACAACACTCACACAGCAACACTTGACAACAAACAACTTGATAAAACATGATGCAAATATCTTCAACAATTGTTAGTGGTTTATTATACAGCGAGTAACAGAGAAGCCGCTCAAGACGCCTCTGAGTTATAGCAGAGTATTTAATAACTTGGCTTTAGTTATCTAACACTAAACACAAAGCTAACACAGCCATAAATTATAGATAAGCTTTAACACTACAATTATTGGAAAGTACAATAACAGGATATATTGTTTTTTTTATATAGTTTTCACAAAATATAGTTTTTGATGATTTAACTTACCTACAGCAGTTATAGATAAATATAGTACAGTTGCCTCTATTACAACAAGTCATATCGTTGGTGTATATTAACATGAGTCTAATATCTTACAATCAGAGAGGTATAATATTCCTACAGGTACAGTGGCACAGGTATCCTCGCTGGGTATCTTAGCACAGGTACTTTTGCTGGGTATTTTAACACAGGTATACTTGCTGGGTATTTCTGGTGGTGGTCACAAAGGCTGGGGTACAGTGGTGACTGCAGGGGTCTGCTGGGTCTGCCCCGACTGGACAAAAAAAGTATAATTACAGTTGTGATGTGGTGTAAACCCTGTCTTTACCGCTGGCCTTCGTCACCTGATCAACCCCGCCTCCTCCCATTATGTTCTGTGTTAGTGCAGTACATAGACGGCGTAGGTATATAGTACATGAACAGTACAGGTATACAAACAATATATTTAGACAGTACAGGAATAGAAACAATATATTTAGACAGTACAGGTATACAAACAACAGTAAACAGTAAGGCGAGTCACCAAGGACAGCCCAACAAAGTCAACATTATGATTATTTCCATTAATATAACGCTGACGATACATTAATTTCAGGTTAGGTTTCCATATTGACCTGAATTCATGTAACCACTACAGTTATGACAATTTCTCTCCTATATTTTGTAGAAATATTGATATATTGAGTGTTAAATATTTATGCTTATATACACATAGCCATTTTCTTTAGTGTAATAAATATGAATCCAGTGAATTCTTTATTAAATTAAAAGAATCACTATCAGTTCCAATCTTTTATTATTATATAGTTGTATTAAGAATGTATTTAAAGTGATTATTATGCGAAAATACGTGTTTGGTAAATATTGGTTAAGTGTCTCCTGAAAGTAGTAAGAAAACTGGTAATAGAAAACAGTAGTTCTTAGTGGCGGTGAATATAGAAAGATGTGTAGGGATGCCTCTTGAGGACTTAAGTGCTATTTCTATGGTAAGTACACGCTTGATTTATACACCAGTGTTCTATGACTATATGAGTGTTAGTTCCACCTAGGAGAGAACATCGTATATGAGTCTAGTCGGCTGATATAGACCAAAAAGACGTGACTCATTCTGCGTTGTCAAGTTTGTATACACCAGTCAGCTGTTTCTCGTGGCTTCAGGGAGTGGCCGGGAGGTTTAAATGTTATTCCTATTTTAAATGTATCTCGCTTAATGGTGGGGGTATATTTCAATGTTGTTTGATAATATGTTAGGATATGAATATTCTCCCTTGTTATCATACTTTTGGGGAGTTTAGAACGTCGAGTTTTTTGGGTTAATTATTAGATGGACTATTTTCCTGTTTGTATCTCACAGTTTTAGTATTCTGTAATTTATCTCTTTATTTATCATATCCAAGCTCAACTATGCTGTGATTTAAGCGTTCTTGTGTTTAAATGAACAGTAATACAGGAGGATTTCTGTGGGGTAAACATTTCTCAAGGTTAAAAGCTGCCCTTAACTCATAACAGTACTGCTGTGGTAATTTCCTCAGCCAACACCTCTATCAAATACGATTAAAATTATCGGTTCCTTGAATTCCACGTTGGATCATCAGTCTGTGTTTAATATACCACGTAATATGTCGATAAAGGTTTAATTTCTGGTGGTTGAATTCCTCCGTTCTCAATGTACCGCGGTGTCGTCATTGTGGTGCGCGCGCCTCTAGCAACAGGCTGGTACGGGAGAGGTGGTTGCCTGCTTGTCACTTTTTTGTATCAAGTTTTGAACAATAATAAATCTGTTTGTTGTATCACCTTGAAAATAGTTATATATATGGAAGATTTTGTATGTTATATGATGGTTAGATAAAATTGAAATACGTAATGTTGATAAGTTGAATTTGATGTTGATAAGTTGTTTAAATCAGTTGCCATTTAGGTTGTAAGTGCACTCACCTAGTTTGTTTAGGTGGGGGTTTATCTGTTATAATTGGAACAGTTTAAATATTCCGCAGGTTTTTCTCGGTCACTCAGAGAACGGGTCGGTGGAGTGGTTCAGTACAAAAGAATATAAATTAGTAAATATTAGAAGAGTTTAATTATAATGACAAAGGTTCTCCGATGAAAAATATATTGAGTAATTGTCTTATGTTCATGGTAAAATATAATGCATTACTAGACAATTTAATGTCACCTAACCTAACCTAACCTAACCCAACGATTATGTAAATTGTAAAATATGAATAACATCTGTGGACGTGAAAATGTTACCCAAAAAATATTATACACAGTAAATGTTGACGATATCCTCTGAGCCAACCAAGACACTGTTTATTTCCCCCAGAGTTGCATGTGTTCCCTCAGGTCTAACTCGAGTATAATAAAACCAGTTTATATGTTTTTTTTTTTTACTTTTCATGTAGTCTTATAGAACTGTACGTCACGCTATAACAAGCCTCGCCTTCTAATAACACTTGTCGATCGATGAAAAAGAATAAGACTTGTGTGATGGTTTAGAATTGGATCAGAGTCTTATAGAAATGTCTTATATAACAAGCCTCACCTAATAAAGACTCTTATGATAGAACTGGTTTATTTCAGTGTGTATTTAAAGTAAGAATTTGCATAAAGTAATTGAGTTTTGTCTATTAGAGTTATTTTCTTGTCAACTATTATGTATATTTGAATATATATTTTCTCTTTTTAAGTCAACTAGTTATGTGTATTTTTATGTTTTTATTTATGAGGAATTGAGAATCACGACACAGGTTTGTAAAATAAGGGAAACATCTGCCGTGGTGAGTGTAAAAAATAAGGGAAACAGGTGTGTAAAAAATAAGGAAACAGGTAAAAATAAGGGAAACAGGTGTGTAAAATATGGGAAACAGGTGTGTAAAAAATGAGGAAACATCTGGCATAGCTGGTTGTATTTGTCATGTTGAGGCTATGAGTAACCCGTTCGAATACCCGGGTTATTTGCTGATGGGCGACTGGTGGGGGGGGTCACTGTGTGTGTAACCTGGGTCATTATCACGTCTAATGGTCCACACTGACAAAACGACGTAGTATTACATTACGTCATTCAGTAGATAGATTCAACGTTGTATTGTGAAGTGCGTTGTATAAAGTTGTGTAAATTTCGTTGTTTATGTATTTGAGAACATATGGATTAATTGACGGGTATTTGTTTATTTTGTTTGTTTATAAGTTGATGTTTATGTTGTTTGTATCTCAAGAGGGAGGAAGGAAGGAGAGTTGGAGGAAGGGAGGGAAGGAGAGTGCGAGGGAGGAAGATGTTAGTAGTAGTGAGGGATGGTGAGAGTAATGGCATAGCGTAGGTGGTGACCATGGCAACAGTCGTCATGGCAACCCGTCTCATGCAACCATGGTGGGGAGGGTGGGGTGTCATCACCACCACTACCTTATGACTCGCCAATCCCTCCACCATCACACCACCACCCCTACCACCACTACGACCACCATCAACCACCCATACCATCACCATCCCCTACCACCATCCACTACCACCATCCCCTACCACCACCCCCCACCACCCCCTCACCACCCCCCACCATCCCCAAACCACCACCCCCCCACCACCCCCACCATCATCCCTAACCACCACCCCCCACCACCGTGATTTAACCTGCTTCTACCTTAATTAATGTTTACCTGAGGTTATTTTAGTCAATTGTCAAGGTATAAAAAGGTATTAAAGGTCGCCAGTTCATTTCTCCAATTGCATTATTTTTTTTTTAATTTTATCCATGAAACTATCGAGGCATTGTTAGTGTTGTTGTTGTTGTTGTTGTTGTTGTTGTTGTTGGTTGTTGTTCTTGTTTTTGTCTTGTTGTTGTTCCTGTTCTGTTGTTCTTGTTCTTGTTGTTCTTGTTGTTGTTGTTGTTGTTGCTGTTGTTGTTGTTGTTGTTCTTGTTCTTGTTGTTGTTCCTGTTCTTGTTGTTCCTGTTCTTGTTGTTCCTGTCTTTGTTGTTCTTGTTCTTGTTGTTCTTTTGTTGTTGTTGTTGTTGTTGCTGTTGTTGTTGTTGTTGTTCTTGTTCTTGTTGTTGTTCCTGTTCTTGTTGTTCTTGTTCTTGTTGTTCTTGTTCTTGTTGTTCTTGTTGTTGTTGTTGTTGTTGCTGTTGTTGTTGTTGTTGTTCTTGTTCTTGTTGTTGTTCCTGTTCTTGTTGTTCCTGTTCTTGTTGTTCCTGTTCTTGTTGTTCTTGTTCTTGTTGTTCTTGTTTGTTGTTGTTGTTGTTGCTGTTGTTGTTGTTGTTGTTCTTGTTCTTGTTGTTGTCTCGTTCTTGTTGTTCCTGTTCTTGTTGTTCCTGTTCTTGTTGTTCTGTTCCTTGTTGTTCTTGTTGTTGTTGTTGTTGTCGTTGTTGTTGTTGTTGTTGTTTTATTTTTGCTTGTTGTTCCTGTTCTTGTTGTTCTTGTTCTGTTGTCTTCTTTTCTTGTTCTTGCTTGTTCTTGTTGTTGTTGTTGCTGTTTGTTGTTGTTGTTGTTGTTGTTGTTGTTGTTGTTGTTGTTCTTGTTGTTGTTCTATTCTTGTTGTCTTGTTCTTGTTGTTCTTTGTTTGTTCTTGTTCTTTTGTTCTTGTTGTTGTTGTTGTTCTTGTTCTTGTTTGTTTTGTTGTTGTTGTTGTTGTTGTTGTTGTTCTTCATAACGAGAACAAAAACACAAATACTGATAGAGTTTCTGTATAAAACCGACGCCAGTTTCCCTTCCTTAATTATATCGATGTTTTAAATGTCTTCTGTAGAGAGAGAGAGAGAGAGAGAGAGAGAGAGAGAGAGAGAGAGAGAGAGAGAGAGAGAGATACCTTTATTTCATCGCTTGTTTTTCCTCACATGATCAATAATCGCTTCTGGTCATCACGTGATATTGATCGATGGTGACTCGCCAGAGCTGCACCTAACCTCTGATTGGTTGATTCCTGCACCTGATTTACACTGATTGGTTGATGCTTGCACCTGATTTACGTTGATTGGTCGATTCCTACACTGTTTATGTTGATTGGTCGATTCCTACACCTGATTTACGTTGATTGGTCGATTCCTACAACTGATTTATGTTGATTGGTCGATTCCTACAACTGATTTATGTTGATTGGTCGATTCCTACAACTGATTTATGTTGATTGGTCGATTCCTACAACTGATTTATGTTGATTGGTCGTCCCCTTTAGCTGATTAACTTCACTGTTGCTAGGGTGTCTAATCTTCAGGTGATAAGTCAATGTTTCTTAAGAGATGGTCATTCGTGCGTGACTGTCTCCTGTGTTTATGTCCTTCGTGGCGTCTGGCGATGAGAAGGGAGCGTCTGGCGATGAGAAGGGAGCGTCTGGCGTCTAGCGATGAGAGGGCGTCGTGAAGGGAGCGTCTGGCGATGAGGAGCGACACAATCCTTGGTTTTACAGGTGAAATAAGTTGGGGTAATTCATCTTCAGGTGATCAGAATAGAACCCTCCCCACCTCTCCTCCCCGTCCTCCCGTTCCGTCCCCTCCTCGTCCCCCTCCTCCGTCCTCCGTCCCCTCCTCCGTCCCCCACTCTTGTGCATAGGATGGTAGCAACTAAACTTCAAGCTGAGGTGAGGGACTGTTGTCAGGTGGTTGTAGTAGTAATAGTAGTAGTAGTAGTAGTAGTAGTAGTAGTAATAGTAGTAGTAGTAGTAGTAGTATGCCCTGTTGCTATCAGCGGTTATTGGCCCATGTGTGTGTGTGTGTGTGTGTGTGTGTGTGTGTGTGTGTGTGTGTGTGTGTGTGTGTGCATCATCCTCTTCTTCCTCCATCATGCTTGACATTTTCGCAAACGATCGATGCGTGTACTAGGTGGGCGTGAAGGGGGTTGGTTGATAGTAGTAGTGGTGGTAGTAGTGGTGGTGGTAGTACTGGTGGTGGTGTAAGTGCCATGCAGCCACTGGTAAGGGTTGACCCTCCACCTGCAACTGCTTATCCACAAGAGGGAGAGAGAGAGACAGAGAGAGAGACAGAGAGAGAGACAGAGAGAC